GTAAGAGAAAGGGGCTGAAGTTCTCAGTAAAGAAAGGAAACAGCTGGGCAGTGGTGGTGCATCCCTTTAATCCCAGCACTCAGGAACAGAGAAATCCTTTTTTATTTTTATTTTTTGAAAAACCAAAATAATTAAATAAATAAATAAATAAAATAAAAAATAGGTATGTGCTATGGGTTGCTAAGATCTTATGGTAATATTGCTAATCCTTGATTGTGTCTAATAAAATTTCAGTTTATCATGTGGGGGAAAATATACTATATATGGGGTTCAGGGTACCTGGATTTAGGTTTTAGGATCCACTAAGAGTATTAGAGGGTCCCTCCCTGACTAGGGATGAGGGTGCACTAAGGGTGAGGTAGGTCTGTGGAAGATAGCGTGGGAAGGGCAGACTAGAGGAGCCAAGATTTAGTTGTTTGGACATACCTCAGTCTTAGATTCATCGCTTCTGTGTAACATCCTCTCACCTAAGAGGAGCTTTTATTGGAGGAAGTCTCAAGTACGCACGCAGCAAGGTGTTTGCTATGTTCACTACAGTTCAGCACATGTGTTCATATTTTTGAAGAACCAGAAAGTAGAGTAAATAACATATATGGAGAAGGGACTCGGCTTTCATTGCCTAAAAACTAATTACAGGTAGATTTTTAAGATTTGCTGTTGTGTCCACAAGGTGGCAGTATATATAATCTGATCATTACAATCTAATCTATATATTACAATAAATCATGTGAGTTAATTCGATGATTTTACAAATTAGTGGCTTGAGTGATTGACTGACAGTTAATAATTTGAGTCTTTTATTATGTTTTATATCAGAATAGTCCTATGTATGACCTAAGTAAGTTTTATTTCTGAGCAGGTTATTAATGTTGAAGAAAAAATTATTTTGTTTGTTTATTTATTTATTTTGGTTTTTCAAGATGGTTTCTCTGTGTAGCCTTGGCTGTCCAAAACTTAACTCTGTAGACCAGGCTGACTCAAACTCAAAGATACACCTGTCCCTACTTCTCAAATGCTGGAGTTAAACACATGCACCATCACATCCAGCTAGTTGAAAAAAAAATTAATCTAAAGTTTTCATGCAAGCTTCATGTCCTTTGTGCCAATTTGTATTTTCGGGTTTATTAAGCAAAAGAAACATGATGTTGTGGCAGGTTTGAAGCAGAACACATGGTTACTAAGTCAGTGACTTGGTTATGTTTCTCTCATGTACAGGGGAAAACAGCTAATAATTTTATTGAAATTTGAAAAAAGCAGACATGGTTATCTCCTTATAGAGTAAAGGAGGTCAGAATGTAACCGTGATAGATGTTATTAATTTGTTTTATTTTTTTTATAATTTTTTAAAAGATTTATTTATTTATTATGTATTCAGTGTTCTGCCTGCATGTATTCCTGCAGGCCAGAAGAGGGCAACAAATCTCATTACAGATGGTTGTGAGCACATGTGGTTGCTGGGAATTGAACTCAGGACCTTTAAAAGAGCAGACAAAGCTCTTAACCACTGAGCCATCTCCAGACCTAGTTTGTTTTATTTTGACTGCTGTTTCTTCCCCTTAGCTTGAGGCAAACATAAGAAAATGGAGTTAATAATTGCAAAGTTTAACTTTGGGTCTCAGTAATTACAGTGAGATCCAAGAAAAAATTTAAGGTTAATTTTCTTATTGAAAAATTTCAATTTCAGCCTATTGAGTGTCCTTCATGGTATGGCAACCGTGTAGGTGCTGTTAGGCAAAGTACAAATTTTGTTTATTAAGTTGCAAAGAATTTATTCTACTTTGGGTTAAGAATTGAGCTGTTCTTATATTGTGCTTTAGTATTCGCTGCTGTAGCAGAGTGTGGCTTCTTGACATTTTGGAGGGTTTAGGATTTGAGATGAAGAGCTCTGAGGATCATGGACCTCTCTTGTAGTACAAAGAACAAGTTAATAACGTCATGGACGGTCCTTAGACAAATGCATACATTAAGTAATTGAGTATAATGGTAGATAAGGTAAATCAGCTAATTCTCTTAAGAGGAAGAAGATTTGTTTGACATGGTGGAGCCTGTGAGAAGTGACTTTAATTCAGTGGGTGGCAGGAGGTTAAGAAAAAGTATGATCTGTACAAATTGGAAGAAGTTGAATTAGGAGTCTCAGGCCAGAGTGCAGCTGCTAGTTGGTTTGTGGGTTGGTGAGTAGAGGAATGGCCGCCTAGCTTCTCCTTGCTCTTATCAGCCCCAGCTCCCGCTCTGCTCTTGATGGCATGTATTCTTTGTCCATATTTCTGTGGTCGATTATTGTGCCTTTTCTCAGGGTCCGTGGCACTGAGGCACTGTCTGTGTTTGAGTCACTGAGCAGCCATGGGTAAGTGCAGCTGCTCTGGAAAGTTTCTGCTGTCCCCATCAACTGTCTGTTTTTCACTGTAGCAGTAACACCGAAGAAGACACAGTCCTCCAAACCAACAAGCAGATTTACTCCCAGCTTTTGAGAGCAACTGCCAACAGAAACTCAACTCTGCTGGAAAGAATTGAAGTCGTCATCTGTTTGCTGGAGCAGCTTGCATCTGGGAGCAGCATGTCAAATAGCAGTGCTGCCCCCTGACCCAGAGTTGTACCTGAGGACTCTGTCAGTGCCTTCCCAACCCGGAGCTGTTCTGTCCACTCGGTGCTGAGTCTATTAAATATGAGGAAATGCCCTTTAAACAGTGGAGACTTGTTTCCCACAGCAGGCAGAGGATGTGGGGTGGTTTTTGGCTGCTTCTTTGAAGGTGAAAAGCCAAAATAGAACCTAAACCTTCCCAGTGTGTTTCCTAGAAAAGTATATGATTCCTCAGTGATACCAGACGTCCTATGACACAATTACACTTGCAGGTAGTCTTGAAGTCTTGTTAAACCACTGGGTGGAAGATAAGATTATTTTGGATAAAATGTTACTTTGGCTAAGAAAACTTTTATCCAAGTGACTTTATGGGTTCCAATGGCTAGTAGAAACTCAGCACATCAGCATTTCCTTGTAAACTGCACAGAAAGTGTATTCTTTCTGAGCTGTGGTACAGGATTTTTCAAAACTTGATAATTGTGCAGGTCTCCAGTCAGTGCATGCTCTGAAAAGACTCGTTTCTTTGACTTTCTGTGACATTGGTAAAGAAATAGGTACTATCACTTTTTCATTCTAAACTTGAAACTGTGAATAAGGTAAGAGAACTATTTTCAATAAATAAGCTATTTATTTAACATATCTTGGTATTTCCCACTTGCATTCTTCACACTGCTGTGATTTGATTTGAATGTGATTAGCAAAACTTTATGAAGTACATCATAGATAATGATGTTTGAGGCCACCCATTCATGCTCCTGGGACATCCTGCTTGTGCTCTGCTGCTCTGGGCATCTTAGCCACTTGCATGCGTTCATACTCTCCTGTTCCCAAAGCCAACCACATACAGGGCTGTGACTAATAGTTTGAAGGAAGCGTGCAGCATGTAAATCAAGCAGACTTTTGCTTGGGTGCACTCGGGTGTCCAGCCACTGTGCAGCCCCTCCCATACCAGGCACACTTGCATCTGTGGGTTTCTCTCACTTGAGCTGGCCTCCATTGCAGCAAGGCAGATTCTCATGCCATTTGTCTAGTTCCTTGTTTGGTTTGCATTGTCTTTGGAAGCAAATTTTCATCTGTTTATGAGAATTAATCACCAGAACCCTTAAAGTTTTGGTGAAATTGTAAAGGTTTTGAACCAACTCACCAGCCCCATTTCAGGACTACTGTGTTCTTTGCCCCTGCAGAGAGAGTGCACACAGTAACACACAGTCCTTCCTCTACAGGAGAGACCTGGCTGCTTCCACTGAGCATAGCACCTCTGGAGCAGATGAACTCAACAGGATCTCTCTCTGCTTCCCTAGAGATGAGCTAGGGTGTTAGGACTGCTCGTCTCCTAGCCCCTCTCCTTAGCCAAAAGCCTTCAGATAGACGAAAAATGGTTTTCAATCAAGGAAATAGAAATTTTGGCTCTTTCCCTTTGTCATAGCAATAACATGAAATTTTCTGCAGGAAAATAGAAGATCCTTCTCAAATGTGTTGTAATTACTTACGTTGGTTTAAATTAAAGTTTCCTGAAGTGCATGTGTTTTAGCTGTTCCTTTAAAAGACTCTGTGGCCTGATCACTCAGGTTTCTGAACCTTGTTCAGTTAATTTCATTGTTCAGATACCATCATTATATGACTTTGTGTGTTAAATCATAAGCCAGCCAGGTAGTGGTGTACACCTTTAATCCCAGCACTCACACTTGGAAGGCAGAGACAAGTGATTCTGAGTTTGAGGCCAGCAGGCCAGCCTGATCTCTAGAATGAGTTCCAGGACAACCAGGGCACAGAGAAACCCTGTCTTAGAAAAAAAACAACAACAAAAAAAAAAACTAAAAGCATCTCAATACTAATTAGTGTGTGTGTGTGTGTGTGTGTGTGTGTGTGTGTGTGTGTGTGTGTGTGTGTGATGCCAGTGCTGATGGTGGAGACTACAGGTATTCCTAATCCCTGCTGTGTGGAAGTTAAAGGACAATGCCTATCCTAGATTAGAAAATTACAGTTACCCAGCTAGCTTTCAGAGCCTTGTTGGGGCGTGGCCTGGCCTACAGGACATAAACAGTTCATTGTTCACTGCTTTGCAGGAAGAGAAGACTGCTAAACTAATTAGGGTGCACCAGAAAGGCCATGCTCTGCAGAGCCACAAACAGTTGGGGTGAGGCCATGTGCACAGACATGATTCGTTTGGCAACAGGAGACCACTGCAGGGTACAGACATGTAGGACTATCTATTGTGCCAGCCAGATAAGACTAAACACGCCGGGGACCTTTGGTTCATGTCAAATGTTAAACATATCATTGCGACATGTTTTGGAGTACAGTTAATTTCATTTCTGTGCCCTAGCCTAGACAAGTCTTAAGTGCTGTAAAAGTCATTTCAGTACCTCAAAATGCCATGACCGCTAGTGACACTTTTGGGATGGCAGAGGTCATGCGGAGTTGAAAGAAAAGATGTGGATTCTCTAGGGTAAATTATTTGATGTGTCTAAAAGGTATTTTTCCCCCAAGTAGCTGATCCTTAAATCTATTTTTAAGGTTCAAGTAATGCTTTCCTGTTCAGTTTTAACCTGGGAAGCCATATTTGCTTTAGCTACTGAGAATCTGGTTTGTTTTCTTTGCAAAGAAGTCTGACTTTTTCTCTTAGAGCTGTTCTGAGTCCTAGCACTGTCTTGATTTTCCTGTTCTCGTTACATGTTCAATGTAGAGGTATGAACATCACAAACATCAAACCACTTCTCTGAAATAGGTTTTTTTGGAAATAGGCCATTCAGAGGAAGCTGAGAGTTGTGGTTTTTGTCCTTGTCACTCACTACTTTCCAGTATGAGTTGCCCTTGAGAAAGAAGACGGAGCCATGTGCATAGGAGTAGTAAGCTGAGTCAATGTTTCTGAATGGATGGTTTTGTGGCTTCACTGCAGGAAACACTTGGCTCATCTTCTTTGGATAAGAATTAAGTACTTGGTTTTGGTTGACATCAAATGCAAATACCTGCAAAGTAAAGCAGACAAACACTTTTCTGAGGATAGTTGACACTGAACTGAACTTACAAAAGGCTCTTGATAGTTCTGACTTTGCACTGAATTCTGTAGACATTAATTCTCAGTATTTTCCCATCTGGTGATCTGCCATTGTTGCGTAGGTCTGAAGTGATAAGAACATCTTTTAATTAAGGACTCAAGATGCAGTGATACTTACTAGAGACTCCTTGAAGAAGTAAATTAACTGCTGCCTCCGCTCATAAAAGGCAGTGTCCAAAGGGCTGGGGATGCCGGGGAAGCCTTCTGAAATCAGTTTGGGGTAGCTCCTTCCTTCTTCATCTTCTGTGTGTGCCTGGTCATTCTCACTGTCATATCTCCAATATTGGTTTCCTGAGAACCAACCCAAAACTGTCAGTGTGGTATATTAATAGCAGATCATGGCATGGGCCAGAAATACAAGCTGGGATTTCTGAACTCCACCCAAGTAAGACTTCACCCACCATCCTAGGACGAACTGGCATGCCCCTTTACTTCATGTCATTCCAAAGGGCAGCTGCCAATAGGTCCCAAGTCAGCCCTGTGTGGTACTCTGCCACAATTCCAGAAAAAGAAGGCTTTCTCACTCAACCATCTCCTTAGGACTCACATGAGTTCTCAGTTTGACCCCAGTAATGTTTGTCCTGCCCCATCACTGCTTAGAATGCTAGTTGCCTCTCACAGTGAAAGTCCACAAACATCATGGGTTATCTCTAGTCTTAATTTACAGACCATTTGTGGTGGTCTGAAAGAAAATGTTTCCCAAAGGAGTGGCACTATTAGGAGGTATGGCTTTGTTGAATGGGCTTTGTTGGAGGAAGTGTGTCACTTTGGGGGTGGGCTTTGAGGTCTTCATTGCTCAATCTATGCTCAGTAGTAGAGAGTTCACTTCCTGTTGCCTGTGGATCAAGATGTAGAACTCTTGGCTCCTTCTCCAGCACTGTATATGCCTGCATGCCACCATGTCCCATCATGATGATGATAGACTAACCGTCTGAAACTGTAAGCCACCCAATTAAATGTCTTCTTTGGTAATAGTTGTCACAGTCATGGTGTCTTTTCACGGCAGTAGAAACCATAAGACACCATTCTTTTCCATGTTAGAAGAACCTAGCCAAGTTTACTCATTTGGTGATTTAGGGACCTTCCTAAGATGAGAAGATACAAGCCCACCCTGAGCCTGCAGTCTGTCTAATTTCAAACAGGAGACATTACAGTGAAACCTTGGTGAATGCTGGAAACATCCTGAATGCAAGTTCAGTAAGAGAAATAGAGCCAGACCTGAAGCATTGTTACCTTTAAAAAAATAACGCTCATCTTTTCCCCATGACCAAACATGGACAAAGGCATCTATGCTTTGCACGGGGATTCCACGCCAGCCAGTGAGGATTTGGAGAGGGTCCCCGTAGCGAGTCCTGTTGTTGCGGTTTTCGTAGAGCCAGTACCAGCTACTGCGGAAGAAGTATGTGTTGAACCTCACCCTCACCTCACCATATTGGTTCTTCTCCTTGCGAATCCAGTCAAACACTGTATCAAATGATCCCTCACATGAACCTGAAGAGAAAAAAAAAAAATTCCAGCCACTTGTCACTGCAAACACCAGCATTCATAATTGGGATGGAGATGACTTCATGGTTAGTACTTCTGTTGGAATATCTTGAAGCACCGTAGAGATTGAGCTTTGAGTAGCTGAGTTTTATAAAGCCACTCAGAAGGTTCCCAGACTCAGTCTGGATGCAGTTCTATAGCTACCCTAGCACAGCTGGCCCATGCCTCTTGTTGGTCCATCTGATTTCTTGAGAGGAAAGAGGTTTGGCTCAGGACACACATTAACTGCCATGTTTCCACTGGCGGAAATTGACGTGGCTGCAATAGGCTTTGGGTGTCAAGAATGGAAGCACGTGAGAGCTGACCTGAGATGGGTTCTGAGGGCCTAGGAATGGAAATGCTCTCCCTGCCTTGGGCATCTGCTGTAACCAACCAGTTTCTTTTCTTTTTCTTTAAGACTTTAAATTTTTAATTATATGTATGTGTATGGGTGCCCATGGGGAACAGAGGTGTTGGATCCCTGGAGCTGAAATTGCAGGCAGTTGTGAGCCTTCAGATGCAGGTGCTGAGAATTAAACCTCTGGAAGGCACTCTGAACTGCTGAGCCACCTCTCTGCCCCACCGTGTTTGTATCGAATAGCCATGTGTGCCTGGTTTGTGATGAAGCTGCTGTCTGGAATCACACCTTCTCACAGTGGCTTTGCAGTCACACAGCTCTGTGATGCTGAGGCGTGGGGGCTCTACCTGTCTAAAAGCCGTGATGGCCTCTGCCCTCACTAGTGTGTGAAGAGCTGGGAGAGAAGGCGGCATGAAAGAGATTGTTGCTCTTCACCTGTGGCTGACTGTGGTCTAGTGTGGTCACTTTAAGAGCCTGCAGCTGGGGTTTGAGGGCAGCTCTTCATGCAGCCTGTGCTGTTTGGGGACCAGCCTCCAAGTTAATAGAGTGGACCCTGCTGGCTTTAGCCTCCCCAGTGCCCTCAGATGGATCTGCCCTAGGCCCAGCTTACCATATAGTCTTTGAATTGCCTTCCTGTCTGACCAGTCCAACTCAAATGCAGGCTCCTGGGGAGTATAGTTTGGTTGCATTATGGATCCTACTCTGTAGGTGTGAGGCAATCCAAGGACATGGCCAATTTCATGGACAGCTACCTAGGAGGGAAACAAACCGCAGATGTGGGACCAAACCTGAGTCTTCGATGATGCAGGGTTCAGTCACTAAATTACAGAGGCCTGGCCTATGCCCTTTCAGAGTTGTGCCTTCTTAGGAGAGAAACAGGGTGAGGACTGGGGAACCACCATCGGAGACTTCTAGGTTATGTACACACCAAAGAAAAGCTGGGTTTCTGAACTTGTGCTAGGAGCTTTGCCTTCCCGGCAGAGCAGCTGGAGCCTCTTACTTTGAGAAGGCTGATGCCCGTGTCGCTGGAGAGAGGGGTGAAGTGCTCATCATCGTCAAAGTGGATCTCACCCAGGTGCCAGGCATGTGCAAACTCCTGTCCACTCCCATCAAATACCCTCGGACAGCCCAGGTGCCGGCCTGGTGTGGGGAGAAGGGTGGGTAGCAGTGAATGAAGGTGCCCATCTTAAGTCCCTTTTTGACAGCACCACAGTCTCCAGGAGCTAGTGAGGTCCATGGAAGAAACCACGCCACTGTGAACAGGGTGGCTATAAAGACTTGAAACAAGCTGGGTGTGGTGGTACACACTTTTAATCCCAGCACTCAGGAGGCAGAAGCAGGTGGGTCTCTGCTTTCTGAGGCTAGTGTGGTCTACAAGCAAGTTCCAGGACAGCCAGGGCTACACTGAGAAACCCTGTCTTGAAAAAAAAAATCAAAAATAGCAAAAAAGACTAGAACCATCTTGAAACATTTTGATACTAACTGCTCTGTGTGTGTGCTTTGGGGTGTGTGTGTGTGTGTGTGTGTGTGTGTGTGTGTGTGTGATGGTAGTGCTGATGGAGGAGACAGCATTGGAGGGGGGGAACCTCAAGGTCAACATCTCTTAAATCTATACTTCTATAACAAACCATGTCTTGTGTATTCTAGAATTAAGAAATTAGTCCAGAGAGAGAGAGAGAGAGAGAGAGAGAGAGAGAGAGAGAGAGAGAGAGAGAGAGAGAGAGAGAGAGCGCAGCAGCAGCAAGGTGTATGGAACACCTCTAGTTCACAGATGGACTGTGGAAGTCAGGGTATTTGTCCAGACTGCCAGCAAGAAGGTAAAGCTTTTACACAGGTCAAGTAGGCTGTACCGGCTGCTGTTCCATGTGACCAGGAGAATGGGTGGGTGATGGTCTGGGATGTGCTCCAGGCAAGTGAACCCCAACAGCTAAGAAGACTTGAGAATCTACCGAGAGTAGGTTCCACCCTCTTAGGTGTCATCTCTGAAGAAGCCCAGCAGGTAGGACTTGAGATCACACCACTCTGGGTGACAAGGCAATCAAGTTGTGATTGGCCCAGGTTGCCATGGGCCTGATACTGGACATGGGGCTTTGGTGGAAGAATCCAAGACTGCCTGCAGAATAGATAGGAAGAGATACCACCTTTGTACCCCTTACCTCTCCCAAAACCCAGCTTTATGTCCACCATAGTGCCAGGGGCAGTGAGGTCCTCCCGGAAGTTGAGTGGTGTCACCTCGCTCCACATCCTGAAGGCCAGTCTAAAGATATATCTCTGCTCTTCCACGGAGAGTTGGCTGCTGTAGGCATCCCCGACCAGCCTCCAGGTCAGCGTCTTCCTGGAGAAGGCCCTCCTGGGCCCAGTGTCTAAAGTGCCCTCATGTTGCCCACCTGGCTTGGGCAGCAGCATTTGAAGGAAGCGCTTTTGACGGGCCCTGGGCCGGAGACCCAAAGGGGTTGGCAGGGCTGGTGGGGTCGGCAGAGCAGCCTGAGGTGGCAGCCTTGTGTCGGGGATGCCACAGCGTGGCCTGTTCATAGCTGCCAGTGTAGGTGAATCTAGTTCCCCGCTGGCTGGCAGTCTGTTTGCCTTCTGGAATCTTCGCACAGCTTGAGCCAAGGTGGAGCCCAGAGGGACCCCTGGTGACTCCTTTGAACTAAGCACCTCTGACCAGCCGTATTTCAATAGGAATCTCTGTGGGAAAGAAAAGCCCTAAACTTACAGGGTTGCCGACATTTTTCCTGTGCTATAGGGGGTAGGGAGGGGCATGGGGATGTAGAGAGTGGAGTTAGAGATGGAGGACATCATCCAGGGCCTACCAGAGTAAAGTAATGGATGCCGCGTGGCCTATGGAGAAGCAGGGTTGAAGCAGGTCAGGTAATAGGACTGGGAGGGAAGAGATCAAAGGTAAGAAGTCAGGGCTGGAGGTGGGTGCACACTGTGGGCCAAGGAGCTGAGAGGGAGGCCTGCCCAGGAAGAAGAAACTCCCCAACTCCAGGGATTAGGCAAGAATCATTCTGAGAGTCTGGTGGGATAGGAAAGGCAGGGGCAGCAGGGGTGTCCCTTGGCATCTGAGGCAAGCTTGGCCCATCATCCCTTCTCACTGCCCTCCACCCTGGGGGGCACTCTGGAGCCAGAAGTTTAGGGGGAAATTTTGATCATATGTCTGCTTGTGGAGCTTGGTAACCACCAGACTGCAAGGGTGGTCGAGGGGCAGGGAGTCTGCTCAAGGCCACTCCAACCCAGGACTGGTGAAAGGGAGCCCTGGTCTTCTTGCATCAGTGGATGCCTCTCAATAGCACAGTGCAGGCAATCTTTGCTAGAACTGTTCTTTGTATGGCCAGGCTGGCAGGTGTCAACCAAGGGATGCCTTCAGCAGAGTGCCTGGAAGCACCGCACGCTCGCATTCGAATGACCCGCCTGACATTTAGAGCGCAGGGCTCATCTTGCCTAGATACCCATGCTGCTGGGATTAACACCAGAGGGAGCTAGGTGCAGCTCGGAGGTAGAGGTGTTTGCCTGGTTTGTGCAAGACCCCAGGTGTCATTCCCAACTCCACAAAGACGACACCAGGTTAAGCAGGCTCTCTGCCTCTGCACAGCCATCCTTCCATGTTATGCTCTGATGTCTACATGTGTGTGCGTGCGTGTGTGTGTGTGTGTGTGTGTGTGTGGTATATACTGCCTGTGCACACAGATGTTGCTGCTCTGTGGTCTCCTCTTACCTGAGCAGCATGGAGGTCAGCAATGGGCTTGGCCTGGCTCAGAGGAGATGGCTCCAGGTCCGAACGGTCCCGGCTGTGGAAGAGTCTCTCAGGCTGGGTGGGTTGGGGTGCAACCAGCCAGCAGAGCAGCAATGTCAGACGCAAGGCAGAGGCAGCAAGCATGGTCCCACTGGGACAACTCTGGTCCTACCTTGCTGCGTCCCCGTCTCTTCTCTGAGGGAGCGGAACATGGTGGGACCCTTTTATAAGCAAGCAGGCATTCTTCACCCGGCTCTTAAGTGTGCCTGCTAGGAAGCTGCTTCTGTGGCCCTGGTGAGTTGCCTTTGAAGACCCCAGGGCTCCTTTTCTCATGGGCGTGAGAACTCCGCTTCCTCTGCTCCTGGGGTATGGTACTTTGGAGAGGTGAGCCTGTGGATTGCTCTCCTGTATTGACTTTCCTGGTCGAGTTTGCTCCTAAATGAACTGAGGGAGAAGTGCAGGATGCACGCACCTGTGGTCTATGAAGGCCCTGTCTGAGCCCTACAACGTGCCTTTTAGGACTAGGCCTGCAGCTTTCAGACCATAACCCTCAGTTTGCTCATATTCCAGTAGCTTTTTTCTGGGTGGTCTGGGGCTTAGGGCATGCTAATTTGTTTTTAGACTTTGTTGCCATTTTTCTTCTTACTGGTTGCTTTTCTTTATGGGGAAGAAAGTATGTCTAGGGTAGGCAAGATGGCTCAGCAGGTGAAGGCAATTGTTGCCAAACCTGATGTCCTAAGTTCAATCCCTGGCCCCACATGGTAGGAGAGAGCCGGTTGTTGCAAAGTTGCTCTCTGACCTCCATGAGCATACTCACTGCTTGCTGCTCAAATAAATAGTAAATAAATAATTAAAAAATAGAATGTCTAATCAGCATATAGAAAAGTAAAACTTAAAACCAGTGCAAGAAAGGGGGACTGAGCTCCTGTGGTGGGGCAGGGCTATGGTGAATATTTTTGCAGACACATACACTTATGGCTACCGAGAAGTGTATGTATGTGTGTAACAACTTCATGGAAGCCCTGGGTATCTGACTGTTCCTGAACACAGGTACTTATTGTGGAGTCCCAGTCCGTGGTGAGTCTGTAAGGAGAAACTAGAACCACTGAGGCCTACAACATAGCATACACAACCTGAGGGAGTAAGAGGCAACCCTTCAGTCCCTGGAGTCTAGAACTGAGCCTGGAAGCTCATGTCAAAGGCCATGCAAGGTCCCCATCTGCACCCAAGCCTGCCTTGCCCCTCTTGAAGTCTTGCTGTGACCAGGGCCATTTGGCACCAGAGATAGAAGACCATATATGAGGCATTTATAGTTTGGAGACAACATTCTGTAAATGCCTCCTCTAAGATGGTGAGGACCCTCCTGTTCTGCTGCCGTTAGTGGTTGTCTCTCCTTCAGCTTCCGATGGCATCGGGCTGGGTAGGATGTACCCTCATGGAAGATGCCTTCTAACCTGCCTTTCATGAAGACAGCTCTGCCTGTGCAAGCCATCTTCCCCACCACCAGCCCACAGCCACGTTTCTTAATGCAGCTCAAATCTAGACCAGGACTGCCCAGGTCAGTGTTCTCAACCTTTCTAATGCTGCGACCCTTTAATACACTTCCTCGTGTAGAAGAGACCCACCAACCATAAAATCATCCTCATTACTACTTTATAACTGTAATTTTGCTACGGTTATGAATCATGTAAATATCTAATATGCAGGATGTCTGATATGTGGCCCCCTCTGAAGGGTCATGACTCACATGTTGAGAACCACTGACCTAGAAGAAATAAAGTTTGGGGACAGATTTTCCAGAACCTCTTTCTGCGGGGTGCTACATTTCTATCTTCTCTTCCTCTTCTTTCCTCTACCTCTCCAAAAGCAGTTAGCCTGATGGATATGCTGCAGTTATATTTCAGGAGATAAAATCTTCATATCTGAAGCATAATTATCCACAGCGAAAGTCAGAACTCTAGGTCTTGTTTATTTTTATTTGGATTTCTGAGATGGCATCTCACTATATAGGCCTGGCTGGCCTTAAGTGCATGGCTGTGTTGTCTCCATCTCCATTCCCTTGAATGCTGGGACGATGAATGTACTACCATGCTTGGCTCAGTCGTTTGTTTTGTTTTTGTATAATGAATAAACATTTCACAAATAGCAGTTTTTCATTCTTAACCAGGTCAGCATCAGAGAAAGACCATGTATGTTGCCCCCGAACACAGCTTTGCACCAAGAACCACACATGATAATATTGGGCTGGAGTGATGGATCAGTGATTGAAAGCACTTGTTCTCTAAGAGGATCTGGATTCAATTCCCAGTACCCCCATGGGGATGCACAGCTGTCTCTAACTCCAGTTTTCGGGGATCTGACACCCTCTCCTTGCTTCTGCAGGCACCAGGCATGCACATGGCACAGAAACATAGATACAGACAAGACCCCTCCCCCAAGTACATAAAAAAGAGAATTAAAAAGGAAAGTGGGCTGCACGCACAAGTAACCATGTGGATGATTTCATTTCCTTTTTTCAATGCTCAGGAAGCTCCCCTGGGGTCCAATGGCCAGTTACACCTGGCCTGGGTTCCAAGCTGGACTCCACAAAGACAGTGATATACTGCCAGCAGCTTCTTCAGAGCCCTGATTCGGGGCTCTATCCTAGAGGCAGCACACGCTGTACTGTGCACGAGGAAGGAGCTGGCCCCGCATGGCCTCAGCAGCAGCTGTCCGGCTGCAGCACTTTCCTGATGCCTGCAGCCAGGGCTTGTGGGGTGGGACTCTCCGCGGTGCAGCTCACAGGCAGGCCCTGGGCAGCCATAGCACGAGTTGTACTGGGGCCAATGGCTACAAACTGCAAGGAGGCAAGACACAAGAGACACAGCTTCAGTGCCACAGCAAGGGCTGTGTGCAGGCGTCATCTGGACAGGCTTTCTATTAGGACGCCATTCCTGTGTGCTGTTTCATATAAACAACAGTGCCACCTAATCTGAAGCTGGCTTCAGGGTCTGCACAACCCCTCCAGTCAGGATCTCACTATCACCTCCTGCTGCAAGTGCACATGTCCTTAGGACTGGGTGTGTGGGGACGAAGCCTGGGGTAGACACCATCTTCCTCAGGGGCTCCAACTGCAGACAGTTCTGCTTCAATTTTAGGGGCTCTAGGTGGGAGCATCTGGGGAGTATGGGGTGCCAGGGTGGGTCAGGATCCCCAGGAACACAGAACAGTCATAAGCTGGAAGGCCAGGGTTCAAATCCCAGCATCCACTCCCTCTGCCCACACCTTCTTATCTCCAACCAGGCTGTCCACTGGGCTGCTGGGGGTTACATGAGGTGATCAGGGTAAACTACTTGTTCAGTGCTGGGCACCGGCATATGCGCACTGACAGATGTGTGACTTCTAGGTGCACAGATGGCCACCTCCCAGGCCATGTAGACACAGAGAAGACAGGAACGAAAAAGAAGATGCAGTGGCTTTCATTTATTTGGTGGCAGGTGCCGTAAAGTTCTCAGTGCTCTGCCATGGCTCCTTTGTGGTATTCTGTGAGTCAGCCATAAGCAGTAAGCACAGGTCACCCTTAACTTTCTGTGAACCCCTGCACTTTAAATAGCACCATATAAACACTGGTCTCACATGCACTCCTACAGAGGAAGGAAGGCCACTGTGCAAATCTGGGGCAGAGCTGAAACAAGAATGCCAAACCACCCAATGCATGAATCTCAGGACTTTGCTCCCTGTCCACCTCAACAGTACCCATGTGGGCCAGCACAGTCCCAGTGATGAAGGAAGACTTCCATTAATAGGCTTTCTGGCTCTGGAATAACCTACAGTTGTTGTGATCAATGTTATCCCGGAAACCCTTTCTTTCCTGGCAGCCCAAGGCCCCAGCGGCATCTGTAAGTACTGGTGTGTGGTGCACTGAACAGCGGCATCTGTAAGTACTGGTGTGTGGTGCACTGAACAGCGGCATCTGTAAGTACAGTGTGTGGTGCACTGAACAGCGGCATCTGTAAGTACTGGTGTGTGGTGCACTGAACAGCGGCATCTGTAAGTACTGGTGTGTGGTGCACTGAACAGCGGCATCTGTAAGTACAGTGTGTGGTGCACTGAACAGCGGCATCTGTAAGTACTGGTGTGTGGTGCACTGAACAGCGGCATCTGTAAGTACTGGTGTGTGGTGCACTGAACAGCGGCATCTGTAAGTACAGTGTGTGGTGCACTGAACAGCGGCATCTGTAAGTACTGGTGTGTGGTGCACTGAACAGCGGCATCTGTAAGTACTGGTGTGTGGTGCACTGAACAGCGGCATCTGTAAGTACAGTGTGTGGTGCACTGAACAGCGGCATCTGTAAGTACTGGTGTGTGGTGCACTGAACAGCGGCATCTGTAAGTACTGGTGTGTGGTGCACTGAACAGCGGCATCTGTAAGTACAGTGTGTGGTGCACTGAACAGCGGCATCTGTAAGTACAGTGAGTGGTGCACTGAACAGCGGCATCTGTAAGTACAGTGTGTGGTGCACTGAACAGCGGCATCTGTAAGTACAGTGTGTGGTGCACTGAACAGCGGCATCTGTAAGTACAGTGTGTGGTGCACTGAACAGCGGCATCTGTAAGTACAGTGTGTGGTGCACTGAACAGCGGCATCTGTAAGTACAGTGTGTGGTGCACTGAACAGCGGCAGTATGATGACTGGGGGATGCCAAGAACCCATGGGTTGCAGAAAGGAATAGGACAGATTTAAGATGGGTACCTTCGCTATGCCCCAGCTGCTCCATGAGTCTAGACAGTACTGGCGACAAAGCCCAAGTGTCCATTTTGCTCTAACTTGGGTTTGCTTAGAACGGGGACAGAGTAAGGTTTTCGTGGTATGAGTTCTTAGTAAGGCAGACCAGCATGGTCAGCCCAGGTGAGTTATGAGGCGCGTTCCCATCAGAAAGCTGCTCAGGCACTTCACGGTTACCCAGTGACTCGTCCACCACATCCAGGGACATGTGAGCAGCACCGGCACTGTTGCTAACCCTTCCCCGGTGCCCAAGAGCTCACTCAGTCAGTGACCATGCTGAGCACCCATGGACCTGTCTCTTCAATTCTGTACAGGACTCAGGTGCCTCCTTCCTCCCCTAGCCACCCCTCATAGAAGCTGGCCTTCTAGTAATGTGCTGTATGATGCTGGCAAGGTGTCGAAGCCTGTAAGGAGGGTTTCCCCGGTAAGGACAGTCACCCCCATCCTGCTGGATCCCACAACCAGACTAGCGCAAGCTATGGCTTCAAGAACTTTGACCACTGCCAGGCAACTGCTAGGACCATGGCTATGTATCACCACAGCCCACGGCCTCGCATGTATCTTCCTGGACTCTAACCATGGCGCCGTCCATTTCAACTGTGTGAACTAGGGCAGGGCTCAGCTGCTCTGCACCTAACGTTCCACCTTGAAACTGGGCAAACAGTCTGAGTCCAGGTGGGACACACCTGTGAGATGCAGCTGTGATAAGCCCAAGTGTTGGCGTCACCTGACTGAAGTGAGCTCTGGGGGGTTCTAGGCCACACTTTGTACTTCTCCCCGGTCCCTGCAGAGTCTGGTCAAAGGCACTTGTTGCAGGTGCCACAAGAGTGATGCTACTTAAAGACTCAACAGATACAGTCCCTGAGAGTGTGGATGGGAACCCTTTAAGTACAGCAAAGATGAATGTTTCTAGACTAGAAAACCATTTCAGTCAGGCATGGAAGGCACCAACACGCACACCAAATCCTGCCAGAAGGGCCTCACTTGAGTCCTTGACTTATCAAGGACAGTGCCATGCAGGGGCAGGGACGGCTAGACAGTTGGCTAGACAGCACAAAAAACTTGGGGCTAATCTCCCCAAATTAGAGTAAGATCCACCCAGAGGAGACCAGCAATGTAGGCAGAGCACCAGTAAAGAAGTCACAGGGACCCTCCCGACTCTCCAGGCACTTCACAAGTGTCTGACTCAACATTCAAAGGATAAAGAGTGAAGTCCATAGAGTACCATACCTTAATCTGATCAAAGCTGCCACCAGATAATGCCTGAATATACTCCAGGCTGTACTTAAGGCCGGAGGGGCTGAAAAATGTGATGCTGGCTGGGACACCCTAGGGGAAATGACAAGATGAGAGCTAGCTTTGCCCCTAGACAGCATCCCTCAGCTCAGCAACTCAACCCTTCCAGCCCCAGACCCCACAGGGGCTCTGCATCAGTACACGCTCGGGCTCTGTGCCAGGGGCTCTGCATCGGTACACTCTGGCTCTGTGCCATTCTCAGACCACCACAGCAGAGTTGGAAGGATTTGCTTGTAAAGCAGGCTGAGGTGGGAGAGGCTGCAATTACCACTGACCGAGTGCTCTGCTGGCCCTCAGTCAGTCTGGCCAGAAGACACTGACTCTTGAGCTCAGCATCAGCCCTGGAGGCACCTCCAGCCCGATAGGTTAAACAGCCCTCATGGAATTAACAGGCTTCTTGTTGGCTTCTGTCAACTTCTACCCACTAGGGACAGAGCAGACAACTAGCCAGCCTGCATGGTTCTCTGCGCTGGATTGTCCATTAGAACCCCCAGAACAGCCACGATCTGCAGAAGCTGTCCCAGAAGAGCAAAGGGATGAGACTTCTGAATGAAAATGATGGACCTAGCCATTAAGGTAAGAAGTGCTCTCCACTCTCCTGCCCCAGGTCTCCCAATCCCAATTCAGACTCCACAGTGAGTTCTTCCCAGTGTGGGCCTAGCCTCTGCCCCACAGAATGGAGAACAGAGGCAATAACAAGACCACTGTATATTCCAGGCCTTTGTATATGGTAGATGTTACACAAGCAGCTTTGTATGAATTATCTTTAATCTTTATAAAACTTTCACTGCATGGGTCTATTCCCATATCACAGACATCTATTCCCATATCACAGACACACAAACAGAGCTACAGAAAAGCCACTTGCTCAGTCACCCAAAGGAGAATCAACACTGCAAACTCATACCCCCAACTCATGCTCCTACACTGGGGCCTGCCCTTCCAGGACTTTCTCTCCCTTGAAATTACATACCTGATTTTCATAGTAGCTCTCCAGGTTCCCCTGGATCCCAGGGTGTGGAATTGTCTGATAGACATGCATGCTTTCCATGGGGATCCCTGTGCACAACCAAAACCAGGAGACAGGATTCATCATACTGAGAATGGGATAGAGCCTCTGCACCCTAGTGCAGCTGATGGGGACTGTCACCACGCCTCTGAGCACCAACTCCTAGAAATGGAAAGCTCAGCAAGGGGGCAAAAGACCCTGCCCAGCCCTCTGTGGCCTTCAGAGTGCTGTGGAATCAATCCGCAGTCGGGAAGGCTGAGTTAGCAGAGAAAGGCCCAGAACCACAGCCTTCATCCGTTACCCACAGATGCCTTTGGCTCTCATGTTTGTATGAGTTTGTCCACACAGCTCTGATCCTGGCTGCTCCATGAATCCCACAGCTGTGCCAGGAGCCCCAACTGCATCCCAGCTCTGTCTGTACATGGTCATGTGTTCTTCCTGGGCCTCAGAACATTCATCTTCAGGGATGCTATGAGCTCATCCTAGTCACCTTTGTCCTTGAGCATTTTCGGAAGAGTATCTCCTTTGATAGTTCCACAGGGAAAGAGAAGAGGCAGTGCTGAAGATGGCCCTGTGAACACACAACAAGACATTGTAGAGCTGGTAAAATCTCAAAGGGAGAGGTAGTGCTGAAGACAACCCTGTGAACATACCACCAACAATGGAAAACTTGTAAAATCCCCAAGGGGGACGTTGCACAAAGCAACTCCCAGGAGGGCAAAGCCGGGTGCCCCAGGCTCAGCTTTGCTGTAAGATCTCAGTTCCAGCGCCTGTTACTAGGAAGGGTAATCGCTGTACTGTTTGGCCTTGAAGGGTTCATGAAGAACCAAAGAGGGAAAATTGAGCAAAGAGCCTAGAAAACTCAGTCACAGAAACAAAGCACCGCTGTCCTATTTGCTGCCTGAACTCTCTGTCAGGAGGTGGCTCCCGGGTTCACGGTCCCTATCTGGAATCCAGGCCTTGTACTTAACTAAGTAAGAAAATAAGTAGGGACTGGTACTGGCACTGGGCATGTTTCCTAGCTGTGGAGGGGGCTCTGGATGAGCCAGGCACAAGTGCAGGAGACAGTAAGGAACTGGCACTTTGGAGTGGCTCTACTGTAGCCACCTCCAACAAAGACAACTTCCCAGCCTACTATGTGCCCAGTCATGCCAACAGCCCCTGAACCAAGAGCCTAAAGGGCACAGATGACAGGAGGCTGCTCCAATGGCTCTGAATCTCACTCTGCCCCGCCACCCACCTCCACCTGTGGAGACCCAAGGCAATGTTCAGCCCTGAGCACTTTGCAAGTTGCAACAAAACCATCCAACCAAACTGAGGGACTGTCAGATGCAAGAACCTCCCTCAACTGTGAACACCACATGTTCTACTAAAACCAACCATTTCTTCCATATCAGATCAAAAAGTGTAATGAGTGTTGGTCATGCACAGACATCACACATTCCCTATACCATGACAATCCCTCTGAATGCACTGGTGACTGAGATCAGAGGAAGAATGGAGAGAACTCTCCCCGGCTAGCACTGGCTCTGAGAAGCAGTAGCTAAGTGACAAGAGTAGCTGTAGCCACTGTGTTTGCAGTACAAGCAACAGTGAGATGCTGGTGGATGTTTTATTTAAACTGCTCTGTAAATATTGGTACCAACACAGACAAGCACATGGTTTGGGAAATGATTAATATAGATCACAGCTGCCTGCTGAGTTGTCTCTCCAGCAAAGTGCTGCTGGGACCTCCAGAGCACACAGTTTAAATACACACTCAGGTGCAGTGCTCACCACCCGAGCCCAGGTGGCTCTCCTGTGTCTTTATGTGAGAGTTGTGGCCTGGAGGTGCAGGAAGCTAGGGACTAAAGCTACTTGTAGAGCACCTATGGGAAACCAAAACAGTTCAACTTTCCAGCAAGCCTTGCTCCAAAGGCATGGAAGGGGCTTCTAGATGATTCTTGAATCTCCCTTGCCATTTATCTCTTCGTACTGTTATTCATAGCTGTGTTGGAAGCATAGGACTCAAGTTTCATCATTTATTTAAGGCTGGGCTACAGTGGTGCAGGGCTTGCTGAGGACATGGGCTTGTCTGGCCGAGACCTGCCACATAGGCATGTGGGGCTCACATATGAATAGTCAGTCAGCTCAGCTGCCTTCCCAGGAAGGGACTAACCTGTGGGCACAAAAGAAGGAAATGTTCCTCATGGAACAAGCACCTGGAAGATTGATCACTAGACACACAGCCCCAACTACACCAATTAGAGGAAAAGATGGGTAGACAAGGTAAGAACACACTCTACCACAAAGAGCAACATAACACCAACAAAAACTAGTGGTCCTTCACATTTGGACTTGAACGCCCAAATGTGAAGATGAAGCAGAGGAAAATGACCTAGGGGAGTAAAAAAAGACAAGATCTCCTGAGTAAATTGGGTGCATGGGGACCTTGGGAGAGGGTTGAAGGGGAGGGGACAGGCAGGGAGGGGAGCAGAGAAAAATGTAGAGCTCAATAAAAATCAACTTTAGGAGAACGCTTGAGGGCCTTAAAGAAGAAATGAAAAATTCCCTCAAAGAAATGGAGGAAAAGACAAACAAAAAAAAATGGAAGAAATCAACAAATCCCTTAAAGAAAATCAAGAAAAAGCAATCAAACAGATGAAAGAAACAATTCAAGACTTGAAAACCAAAACAGAGACAGTAAAGAAAACACAAACTGAGGGAATTATAGGAACGGAAATTATGAGAAAATGGTCAGGAACCACAAATGCAGGCATAAACAGCAGAATACAAGAGATGGAAGAGAGAATCTCAAGCACTGAAGATACAATAGAGGAAATAGATTCATCGATCAAAGAAAACATTAAATCTAACAAAAGAATAACACAAAATATCCAGGAAATATGGTACACCATGAAAAGACCAAACCTAAGAATAATAAGGATAGAAGAAGTCCAATTCAAAAGCACAAAAAATATATTCAACAAAATCAGAGAAGAAAACCTTCCCAACCTAAAGAAAGATATACATATGAAGATAAAAGAAGCTAACAGAACACCAAATAGACTGGATAAAAAAAAGTCCCCTCACCACATAATAATCGAAACATTAAACATACAGAATAAAGAAGGAACATTAAAAGCTGCAAAGGAAAAAGGCCAAGTAACATATAAAGGTAGACCTATCAGAATTACACCTGACTTCTCAATTGAAACAGAAGGTCCTAGTCAAGCATTATGTAGACATTAAGAGACCATGGGTGCCAGCCCAGACTACTACACTCAACAAAAATTTCAATCACCATAGACGGACAAAACAAGATATTCTATGACAGAACCAATACCTAGCCACAAGGCCAGCCCTACACAAAGTACAAGAAGAAAAACTCCAACCCAAGAAGTTAGCTACATTCTCAAAAACTATAGACAATAGATAATCTCACAGCAGAAAGTCCCAAAGAAGGGAAAAACACATACAATAACATCACCAACAATGAAAACTAAAATAACAGAAACTAGCAATCACTGGTCATTAATGTCCTTTAATATAAATGGACTCAATTCAACTATAAAAAGACATAGGCTAACAGATTGGATAGGAAAACGCAATCCATTCTTCTGCTGTATATGATAAACATACCACAACCTCAAAGACAGACATTGCCTCAGAGTAAAGGGTTGGGAAAAAATTTTCCAATCGAATGGACCTAAGAAACAAGCTGGTATAGCTATCCTAATAGCTAACAAAATAGACTTCAAACTAAAATCAATCAAAAGAGACAAAGAAAGACATTTCATATTAGTCACAGGAAAAAAATCCATCAGGAGGAAATCTCAATACTGAATATCTATGCCCCAAATACAAGGGCACCCTCATATGTAAAAGAAACACTTTTAAAGTTTAAATCACACATTAAACCCCAGACACTAACAATGGGAGACTTCAGCACCCCACTCTCACCACTGGACAGGTCTGTCAGACAGAAAATTGAGAGAAATAAGGGAACTAACAAATGTTATGACTCAAATGGACTTAACAGACATCTATAGAATGTTCCATCCAAATATAAAATATAACTTTTTCTCAGCACCTCATGGAAACTTCTCAAAAACTGACCATATACTAGGTAACAAAGCAAACCTCATCAGATACAAAAAATTGGAATAACCCCCATGTATCTTATCAGATCACCATGGCTTAAAATTAGAATTCAACAGCAACACTAATTTCAGAAAGTCCACAAACACATGGAAATTAAACAATGCCCACCTGAATCATCCATGGGTCAAGGAAGAAATTAAAGACTTCCTAAAATTCAATGAAAATTACCACACAGCATACCCAGATTTATGGGACACAAATGAAAGCAGTGCTAAGAAGAAAGTTTATAGCACTAAACGCCTACATAAAGGAGTTGGAAAAATCCCACACTAGTGAGTTAACAGAACACCTGAAAACTCTAGAACAAAAAGAAGCAAACTCACCCAGGAGGACTAGACAGCAGAAAATAATCAAATTAAGAGCTGAAATCAACAAAATAGAAACAAAGAAAACAGGGCTGAAGAGATGGCTCAGAGGTTAAGAGCGCTGACTGCTCTTCCAGAGGTCCTGAGTTCAGTTCCCAGCAACCACATGGTGGCTCACAACCATCTGTAATGAGATCTGTTGCCCTCTTCTGGCCAATAAGCATACAGACAGAGCACTGTATACATAATAAATAAATAAATCTTTAAAAAAAAAAGAAAGAAACAAAGAAAACAATACAAAGAGTTAATGAGACAAAGGGTTCTTCGAGAAAATCGACAAAATAAACAAACCTTTATCCAAACTAAGCAAAAGGCAGAATTTTGTTAATATCCAAATTAACAAAATCAGAAATAAAAAGGGGAACATAACAACAGACATGAAGGAAATTCTGACACTCAACTATACCTCTGGATTTGAAATTGTTTTTAAAAGAAACTGATATGTCATTAATATGTATAATTTTTTTGTATCAGTTAAATAATTTAAATAGAAAGATGCTCTAGATTCATTTCCATGGCTACGATAAATACTGACCAAAACAACTTAGGGAGAAGGGGGTTTATTTCTGCTGACAGATTTATAGTCCATCACTGAGGGAAGGAAGAGCAGGAACTTGAAGCAAAAAAAAAAAAAAAAAAAAAAAAACTGACTGTAGAGGAAAGATCCTTGCCAACTTGCTCACAGGCTTAGTTAGGCCCAGATAGCTTTCTTGTGAAACCCAGGGCCACTTGCCCAGAATGGCTAGGAATGGTGCTGCCCACAGTGGGCTGGACCCTCCTACGTCAATTATCAATCAAGACAATACTCCAAAGACATGTCTACAGTCCAGTCTGATCTGGGTAATTCTCAATTGAGATTCTTCAGGTCACTCTAGACTACGTCAAATCAACAGTCAAAGCTACCAAGAGAGATGTCTGTTTCCATACTGAAAAAAAGTAGAGAATTGGCAGTTTGGAGAGGGCCTCTGCCACTCCCTGACCGCTGCTCTGCCAGGGTCTGTCTAGATCTAGGGAGCCCTAGTCCAAAGTTCAGGATTTAAGAGCAGCTTCCAGAGGAACACTAAAATGTAAAAGCTAGAGACCTTCCAGCAATGGGAGTAGCTTATTGCATGAGAACCTCAGAAGGACTTGAGCATATATGTTTACAGATCACATAAGCCAATAACACTTTGAGAGGCCATAGTTAACATATTTGTTTGGTTTTTTGTTTTGTTTTGTCAATGCTTGTCATTGTTTGAGAAGCCATAAAAAGATTTACAGTCCTTCTCTCTTCACCCCGATAATACACTAAGGGGAAAAGGAGATGCCCAGATCCTACAACCTTTGAGGAAAACCAAAGCTATGTTAGTACTCCACCCTGCCCTTCCTCAGAGGGCTCAGCACATTACAGACACAGTTACAGCCAAGACCCAGGGTTTACATTTTCCCCAGATGTTCCCCTGTTCCAGCTACAGAGTCTGACAGCTCTGACAGAGACCTGTGTGCCAAACTGTAAACACCAGCTGGCTGACCTGAGAGCAGGTCTGGATTCCCTCGGCTGACAGAGCGAGAGGATCCTACTTCAGTCCGTGTGGGGGGTGACACAGCTGCAAGGACCTGTGTCTACAGCTGGATTAGACACAGAGAAGAGAGGAGACAGCATAGAGGAGGGCATTCTCAATCCTCCAGGCCTCACTCCAAATCCTCCTCTGTATTCTTCAGATGCCTAAAACCCCACACTTAGCTCAAGGCAAATCACTACCTAAATCCACACAGCCCTAGGGCTGGTCCACGTGCTGACCAAAGGCAACTTTATGGGAGCCAGTTCTCTGCTTGGGAGCATGTCTTGTGGGGGAGGGTGGATCTCAAGTGAGGTGGTCTTCACTTACTGGAGCAAATATATTCAGCAAGCTTCTCTGCATTGCCACTGTGTGCTCCTTCTGCATCCAGGCCGATTTTGTTCACTGGAAAATGATGAAGAGATGAATTCTTTGCCGGTTACTGAAACCCTTTTAAAGTACAAATGGACAAGCATTGTTTTCCCAGTCACAGAGAAGTGTCCTCTGGCAGCCAAGTAGAAAGACCACAGCTATCCTTTCTGAGATGAGGGTGTCCTGGGCACACCTTCCCTAGACAGGGTCTTTGTCTTAACTAGCTTCTTTGAACCCCACTTACTTTATCTACAATGAGCCAAAAACAGGAGCCCTGCAGGACTGTCTTTGGCTTATGTGATAATGAGGTCAACTGTTGGCATCTGCTTATCAGTCAGGAGATGGTGAGCATTTGGGACTACTAAGTTTTTTTTTTGTTTTTGTTTTTTTTTTTT